AACCCCCTCGCTGCATACGCAGTGATGGTAAAGACACACTCCTCATAGTACTGTCTGCAAGTCTAATCCTTATTTACTTATCAGTCCAATTCTTTATTGATTCCCGTATTGATTCCTACGTTTTAAAACACTGAAGTCTGAACGCAATGAACAGAGTATGAAAAAAGACGTGTGTGTAAAAGGGCTACTGTTTAACTGGGGTTTAATTGGGAACCGGTTCTCAGCTGGAACCCAAATCATTGGTGCAGCATTTGTTTTCATTTACGTTTTCTATGTTAAAGACAAAATCTGCTGAGTCCGCCTGCATCATGCTTATGATATTATAACGTATGCTATCTACCCTCGGGTACGGATGTGCTGCTCGGTTGGGAAGCTGTAGCACTCGTTCGTAGAGTTTCGAATAAATGTTATTCCTGGAATTTAAGCTCATGTTGTGTAGAAATATGTTACAGCATATTGCTGGTGTTTCCACCCCTTACCTAAAATTGTCGTTTTGCAGACATTACAGCTAGCCCTGTTGTCATCTTTCTTTGTGAAATGAAGCTTTGGACCGTTTCTTCTTTCCCACCGCCATGACTTTTTCTTGTTGCAAGTTTTCAGTAGCGAAGGAAGGAAGCAAACATTTTTTTACTCTTTTATCTGTTTAACTCTGTTTTTCAACTGTATTTTTGACTGTTGTCCTTTTTTAGGTTGTATAAGACCCTCTACGGTGCAGCATGGATCAACTAATCTGACAGAAACCAACAGGAGCTCGTTCCCTGTGGGCACGGTACTGGAGTACAGCTGTGACCCTGGTTACCTGCCAGACGGACCCAGCATCCTCACCTGCTCCGCACTGGGACACTGGTCCTCTGAACCCCCTCGCTGCATACGCAGTGATGGTAAAGACACACTCCTCATAGTACTGTCTGCAATCCTGACTCTGCCTTTAGGCAACACAAACCCTCTTTTCACCTGCTATCAAAATGTACTGTATTCTGAATGCATAGAAGATGTCTGCATTAGGTGTATTACAGTAACATGGATTTGGATTGAGCAAAAACAAGTTTAAATGTTCCTGTAAATGCAGTCAGAGACATATTGGGGCTCCGGTACAAACATCTTCACATCTTGTGGTGTTTAAATCAACATCCAGCAACTGTGATAACGAAAATAGACTTTGTTTGACCAACACGATGGCCAGACTGTAGCATACTCAGAATACCCGTGGTCGACAAAACACGTTTTTATTGCAGATACACAAAGAGAAGGTGAGATACTGTAGAAAAGAACATAGTGATAGACAAGGCCAGTTTAGTTGTATAGTACCTTCAGCAACAAGCAAGATAAGATAAATGCACATGTAAAAATATAAACAGACATGTTTTTCTAAGTCCTGCTGAGACATGGGTCCTTGAATGATTAATATATACTTAGGCTGATAGTAGGCTGATTTTGTAATTTCCACCACTACACCAAGATTTTTGGCTTGCTTTGTGATCTTTAACATGACAGATTTTGTCGTTAACGTGAGCTAGTGGGAGCCTGTAAGGAGTATGAACAGAAGAGGCCAGAGAATGGAGCCTTGGGCAACTCCATATGTCAGTTTTGTATGCTCAGACATGTTCAAAAAGAGTCTTCAGGTAGGAGTGAAACCAGTAGCTGGTAGCTTACTGAAACAATATAATTTCCTTTCTTCTCATGGACAGTATGCCAATCTCCATATCAGCCAGAGAACGGTGGCTACACCTGCCACCCTTCCGCATGCGGACGGCTTTCTCACGGCACTGTGATTGAATATTTCTGTGATGAAGGCTATATTCTGAAGGGAGATTATAAATACCTTACCTGCCAGTATGGGGAGTGGGACAGCCAAGTGAAGCTCAGCTGCCTCATGGAGCAAGGTAAAACAAAATAAAACTAGATGACACATTTGCACTCTTAGGGAAACAATTACAGTCAGTCCTATAAAGATAACTGTGTGAACTGTTTATCTGTCTCACAGACCACAATCCAACTCTACCGTTGGGGATGCCTGCCTTGTCCATAGTGGCCTCCACAGCCAGCTCAGTGGCCCTGATCCTGCTCCTGGTGGTGCTGTTTGTACTTCTGCAGCCAAAACTCAAGTCCCTCCATCGGTAAGTCTGCCCTCAGAATCGTGCTGCTCTCTACCAACATCTTGTCGTCGTGGAAGTAACAACTTGACAGATGTTAACTTTCCTGTGGTCCTCCACACCTAGACGCGATCAGGGTGTGTCCGGCCAGCCCGTGTCAATCATGGTGGAAGGAGTCCAGGTGACTCTGCCTTCATACGAGGAAGCTGTGAACAGTAATGGAGCCTCAGCCTCAGCCGAGTCTCGAGTCCAGATCGTGCTGTCTGAGGGTCAGCACGCCACAACGCCAGAGGCTGGCCCCTCTAGGCCTTCTTCCGTCAAGCAGCAGCAGTCAGAGATGGCTGTGGTCCACCCTGTACCACCGTCCTCATCCTCCTCGTCACCCTCACCCTCATCCTCTGCCTGGGTTCTGGAGCATGCAGGTGCTGCAGCTCCTTCATCCTCACAAAGACGGCCGTCTGCGGGCAGCGACCATCACAGCCTGTCTCTGGACTCTGAGATGGACTACTCTGATGGTAAAGCCATCTTCAGACACACTTTTTATTTATTGATATTATGTATTTAAAGTCCCCACTTTGTATTCACGCACATGCTTTGTTTGCTGTCTACAGATATGCCACTGCTGAAGGAGGCCTGAAAAATGCTGCAGCCTTTGGACTTACCCGAGACAACCAGCATTGCTGCTGACCTGTACTGGTGAGCGGGGATGCCTCCTTGAGAGTTTGTCAACACAGCTGTCCACACAGACAAGCCCAACTAAAGAGGCTCTGAGTGTCAGTGGGTCACTCCGAATAGTTCCTCTGACCATCCCAAAGGAGAACAGAGAAGGGATGCACATGTACATACATGCTTACATTTTTTTACTACACTATGTATGTACGTCTAATGTCCGAAGCTCAGTTTGAAAATGTAGAAGAAAAACAGACAGGAACAGGCACCTCCTGAAGGAGTGTGTCTTAAAGGCTGTTGAAAAAAAATGACTGATGTATTTCAGTTGAATGGGCAAAGCTGCAAATTCACTTTGGGAGCTAATAATCTCATCAGTGACTTGTTTAGTTTCTTTTCTTTAACCACATATCACCCCATTTCAGACATATTGGCAAAGATGCATGAAGGCCAGGTAATCTAGAGAAGAAGCCATGCACACTTCCAACATTGTCTTCAAATAGTTTTGTGATTCAAAATCATTATTTAAGGTGTTTATTAATCATGACTCATGTCATTCCACGTGTCACTGTACAGTTTCAGGCTGCTTGCCTACCCAAGGGTTCACACTGCTGCGTTTTTCATTGGATTGAGGGCAAACATTTTGCAAAGAGTTCATGTATTCTCTTCATTATCATAGCCCTCAATGGCCTTAGCTTTCCACTTCTATGCACAGGTATCTATAATATGTAAAATAAGGAATTTTAAAAAGGAATGTCAGTTAAATGCCTCCACTGCTTAGTGATATTATGTGTGGCTTTGTCAGACACATCACTTGTACACCAGAAAATATTATTCTCTTAATTTATGCAGGCTGCTCGGGTTCCTGTTTTAGGTCTTAACAGGAAACTAAAGTGTGTATTTAATTTATTTTTGTCTAGAACGCTGTTGATCAGCCATGGCTTCTTTTGATGCTTTCACAGCTCTTGGAAACAAAAACTAGGTCTTTTCACTTTGCCGCTTCAGTTTTAATTCGACTGCAGGCACGTTATATGTGGTTGGGAAGATCCAACACAAAAATGGAAGTAAGTGTACAGATTAGTGTAATGTCAGTGTTCACTTTGTTTGACTGTCCATTGAATTTTCTGTTGGACTGAGGAATTGATATTTTTTTTTGTGAAGATGGTATTTTAATATATGTAAAAAGTTTTAAGTTAACTCTGTATATACCATACGACCATTTTGATTAAATATTATTTGAGGTGTTCAAATTGCCTGTATCCTTCTTTCTCATTAGACTGCTTTGAATTTTGAGACTGACCTTTCTCTTTGGTCTGACATATTTCAATTCAAGTATTTAATAACGTAAAGCACAATTCTCCAGTCTAAAGGAGCAAATGACTCATCATTACTGATTTAATAAACTCATTCATTCATACACACATCAAAATGTGTTCAGTCCTAGACCAAATATTTTGAATACAAAAATATAAATACAAATCATTGGCTTCCTATTTCACCCATACCTAACACTGCATTGGCTTGAATAAGTAAACTAATTCAAATTGTTAGTGGGTACACATTCTCTAACAATCGTACTGTCTGTATCAAAGGCCTGAGTGAAGAGCATGCAGCTGATAGTGAGACAGTGAGGGCGCTAGCTGCATCCTCGGTAGGTTCGGATTCAGCCCTCGTCTGTTTCCCTCTCCGGCTCGGTTGGGTTGCCGTCTGCCATGCTGTCAAGGCTGTTTCACCTCTTGTTTAGTGTCAACGCTGTCGTATATTCTTGTATCTGTGTAAGAGAAGGGAGATATTTGAATCCGAATTCAAAAAGACCAATGGCTACAAGTGCGAGGAGAGGAGTGCGTTTGCTCATCTGACCCCTCCACCTCCCCACCACACCCCCTACCCCCCCAGCCTCACTGCTTAAAAAACACAGGCAGCTGCAACATTTACCCTCAGCTGGTGCCCTGAATGTTTGGTAACATCTGAAGCACAGGGCCAGGAGAAGGGCCTCAGTACACTGGAGTGTGATGTATATCAGAGGGAAGAGAAACATGGGTCCGATGACCTGTGGGGGAAAGGCCACCTTTAGGATGACAACGCACAGATTGATGTTTTGACACCCTGTTTCCATGGAGATGGTCCTGCTGCATCTGTAAAGAGGTGAGTCACGTGTTATTAGCTTTGATATTCCAGTTTCTGAAGTTGATACTCAAATGCACACATTTGATTGTAATTGGAGGGAATGACTTGTGTAACAGGATTTATTTCCAACCTTTTTATCTGAAGCTAGTTGCTGTATGACATACTGCTGGACATCATTTATATGCATATTGTTTATCATTTAGAGAATTCATTGAAAAATTGAGTTGAATTATTCATGTGGAACTTTTGTGGAGGAAGTATTAATATCCCTAACTTAGGTAAAAGTAGCTATATTACATGGTAAACAGTGCATTGAAAATAAATCACATAAAATACATCATTAGTTTAAGCAGAATCTACTTAAAGTATCAAAAGTAAAAGTACTCATTGCACAGACTCCTGTGAGGGTTTTACTATTATATATTATATTAGTGGAACATTATTACAGATGGATTCATGTGTGTAGCAGAAATATTTTAATTAGTTCAATCAACAATAATGCTGCATAGTATACTATGAGAAATAGTATGGGACCGAGCTATAGCTCATAACTCAAAGCTAACTGTATCTAGTGTGTGTTCACTTACTGTGGACTGAGTCTGCATATGACAGACATGACATATCCCAGCATAAAGCCAGTGAGTGGCATCAGTGCGGCCACAGACAGAACATCAGGGGTGAGGATCATCCATAGAACGTCTTTGACGGCTACACCAGACAGGGTGAACACTATGATGCTGGAGACCATCAAGATGCCAAGACCAGCCTGTCGACAGAGAGAAAGCATGTTACAAGAGTCAGTTTATCTCAGCATCAAAGCATGAAACATCTCTTCTCTATTTCTAAGACTGCAAACATCGCCTGAAAGTTTCAAGGTCAGCTCCTAGTTAGCATTAAATGACTTCCTGTCACACTGTTACAGCTTACTGGGACACTTAAATAGAACATCATTAATGCTATCTTTCAGGAGTCTCACCTTTTTGACGACCGGTGAGTAGTTTGGTTTGTAGTGATTAATGGCAATGCCAATGGTGCAAGGCACCAGGGTGAACACGAGAGCAGTGATGATGCTGACGTACGGAACAGCATTTTCCAGACCGGGGAAGCCTTGGCAGTAGATATAGAGCAGCAAAGGCATCAGACCCAGGGCCACAATACTGGAGCAAGTGGTCATCACAATGCTGGGAGGGAATCAGAGAAAGGAAGATGCATTATTGGACTGACATGTCTCAAATGGTGAAAAACAAGGCTCTCGTTTTGTAGGAACATTTCTGCTTCTTGACAGTCTGTGATATGACAGCTAATTGTGCTGACGCAGCTGAAGTAGTAAATTATTGCAGGCATTTGTAATATTCCAACCAGACAGGAATCAATACATCAGTGGGGGGTTTACCTAAGGTTCATGTCGCCCTTCATGGCCAGGGAAAAAATGTTTGATAAGGTTCCTCCTGGACAGCAGCCGCAGATGAGCACAGTCACAGCCTTGATGGGATCCATCTGTAGGATTTTGGCCAGACAGAAAGCTGTCAGGGGCATGATGCCGAACTGGGCCAGCAGTGCAATGGCTACTCCTTTTGGCTTCAAGAGATGGCTCTTAATTTTGGAAATCTCCATCGTACAGCCAAGGGACACCATGGAGATGAAGAGGATGACAATGGAGAAGATATTGATGGTCTTGTTTAGGGTGTGGGAGATGTTCATTATACCCATGCTTCCATTGCCAGACACATTTGCTCCATTATAGATGTTAGCAAATCCCTTGTAGATGTCCGTCACATTCATTGTGGCGCTCATCCCGACAAACTGCGTTTACTGTGCTGTGGCTTCCACCTGTCACACAAAGCAAATTAAGTACATTAGTAGCAAAGGAATAACAGTTTGGGTTCATTAGATTGTTATACACATGTATAAATGCAGCCAATTACTTTTCATTTCCACATGCAAGTGTGCTCGCTTCAGTATGGGGTTAGGTACTTAGCCTTTTTCATTTTATTTTATTTTATTTGTGGAGCTTTCTATTTAAAGCATCTCATGCTGAGTCAAGATACAAAGATACATTAACTTAATTGTTGAGCTAGTCTCTTCAAGAAATGGGTTGTAAAAAGATAAAATAGTGCCATTGTTGTCTTTTAATTGTATTCATTATCACTTGGCCTCATCGATTGCACGCATGACTCACAAAGCATTAAACTAATGTGTTCAATTGTCTGTAAAGCATTTGCAGATGTTTTGAAGGCCTCAATCTGAGGTTGCGGCTAATAACATCATCATTAAACATCTCTAATGATTTACCATAAGAGAGGAAAGCCAGACACGAAAGAACAAATGCAGTTCTTTCTCTGTCTACATAAAATGTGTCAATGACCTGGAACAGCAGACACTAAAATAAAACTATTTTACAGTATAGATATATATAGTTGCAACATTACATAACATTGTATTAATCAATTTAGAATAAAACAGTGGCTCATTTATTTTGTCCCACATACTTGTGTGTGCAAATTGTGGCTTTAACCGCAATATTATAAACAATTAAACGAGTGGAAAATTACTGAGTGGTAGCGCAACACTCCATAGTATTACAGGATGAGCACAGCAAACTCGTTTTTGAAGTTTATAATCAATATTTCTGTTAGATGTGAAGCATCACATGGAACATTTACTGTAGCAGACTGAGGATTGGATAACGTCAGACTGTTTGTTTGTTACATCTGCAGCTGTTGTCTTCTACAGCCAAATAAAGTCATAACCGCAGAACTTTACACTACCTACACGCAATCTGATGTAATGCTGCTTGGTTCCTGCTTCAAGTTTCCACATCCAGTGGTGGGTCGAGTACTAAAACTCCATATTAAATACTATCTATACTATACTATTCTATACTATATAAGTACAATTACAATTGTCCCATAAAGTAAAAAAAGTTCATGTTTTTAAACTAAATGGCCAGATGAGGCCAGGGATTGTTGCTTGAGGCTCCCTTTTGCTGTGGTTTTAGCTCAGCCATCATCACATTGTGGTCAAACAGGTGGTGCTTATTTTGCTTCCATAAAAACTTCAACTTGGCACCTGCATTAGAGTTGCTCTTCGCGCGGTGTCCCCCCTACACTCAGCCCTCACATTTAGTGCAGAGTTGTAACGAAAGTATAAATGTAATGAGGGATGTAATGTGATGAAGTAAAACTTACTCAAAATATACTAGAGTAAACACAAGTACAGTTTAAAAAAAGGAACTTCAGTAGAATTAGTTCCTTTACTTTTTCACTCATGTGTTGTACCTGTAATTTGTAACTACCCACCCCTGTCCACATCACACTTGTAAGTTGCATACTGTTCTGCAACTGGCTTCCAGACCAGCTGTGATGACACAAAATCATACTTGTATGTACAGGCCTAAACTAAGATTTAAGGAGTTTAGAGGAACTTTCCCCTTTCATCAGATGAATGTAAAAACAGCCTTCTAGTGTCAGTCTCTGCACATGCATCCTTCTGCGCAGTGAACAGTAACGCTAAACACAAAACACATTTTGTGGGACTTTAATGCATCCATGAACAGCTGTTTCTGCAACTTTACTTTCCAATCAATGGTACAGGCTGTGACGGAGGTCTGACAGCTGCTTCACATCAACGATATTGTGCATTCTGGTAAATACTTTATTTAACCATTTTATTTTCATTTCATTTTTGCAGGGACAGCACACAATTAAAAGAAATTGCATCCAGGTTAGCTAGCAACTAACAAAAAAAAACCCTCAGAACAATAAATACACTACATAAAAGTCAACCCTGATTCATGATATGATGTCTTTTGCCAGGCTTTTTTACGAAAGGCCTGAAATTTAAAAGGGATATCTGTAGAGCACCATAAACAGACTGCAATCCAACAAAAGTTGGATTTTGAGTAAAGCTACTGTAGTTTTGTATTTACAAGATAAAACCAGTTTTAAGCAGTAATGTTTGATTCAAGGAATGAGTTGAGAAACAGTAAAGGAAGTTGGTTTCCCTTTTCTTAAAGGCACCAAGATAATGAGTTACACTCATTTCATATAATAACTAAATTATATCATTTAGTTATAGAAATTATTTAGTGTTCTTTTATGCTTGTTGCTTTTATGCAAGAATTTGACTCTTGTTTTCAAGATTGTCACAACTTCTCTTTGGCTTTTACTTCCTACACAACCAGCAGAACAGTGTATATGCTACAGCAGAATGTGCATGCAGTCATGGCTTGATTTTTCCAAAGGGAGACATGCCAGGAATAACAAGTGTTTCTTGTCAACATGTCTCCTAGTTGCTTTTGTTGACTGGATTCTGATCATGCTGCTGAACTTTCTACACTCAATAGCTGATATCAGGCAGCAAGCACAGATACCTCTGTTGTCTGCAGGGTTGGGTAGAGGCTTAAGCCTTGTTTTCAGGCCAAAATGTAATGACTTCTTTGCAATTTTTTCTAAGTTTGGAGCTTCAAATAAGTTCTAAATAAAATGCTCCTTCAGGTCTGGACTCTCGAGCAGCAGTGGCCCTGGTGCAGATTTCCTACAACTACACAAACTGTCTACAGAAACATCTTTTGACGGAAGGATGCTGACATGTGACATGACGGGTTTCACAAATGCTTGCACGGCTCAGATGTTGCTTATGTGGACTTAAATCCAGGCTTTACATTTATGACAGCTGTATGACGTCTGAATGGGTTGTAATCCGCATTTGATTGATGTGTGGAAACAAATATCTTAAAATATTTGCTTTTCCTGCTTTACATGAGCTGAAATTAATCCTGTAGGGATTTTGGGGGTGTTAGATTGTGTTTAATTAAAATTAAATTTAATTGTATGTTAAGTGGCTTGTTACAGTGTAGATCACCTTGTATACAGCAGTGTTCTGGCTAATGATTTGTCTTAAGTCTGTATGGTTAACCTGGAAAGACGTGAATAAAATGATATTGTTTTTAATAAATAAGCCATTGTTTTACCACCTCATTTATTGTTGGACATAAGAAAGTAGAGATTAACAGGCTAACTACTGTAACATAACATGATGCTGTGTCTTGTGATTTTCCTCCTGACCTTTTTTTTAGTCATCACCCACCACTGGCACAATATGCCTTCATGCCTCAACTAACTAAACAAACAAGCTATACAACTCAAAACTTTAATTATTTGATCTTTTATGGAAATTTGCTGATAATAATAATATAAGAATAAAATAGCTCCAGCCTTATCCTTTATAAACACAGATATCATAATGATGGCCAAAGTAATAAAGTGTCTTACCTTCAGGCCAGCTTCAGCAACTTCTCTGGGCTCCCACAGACACTCGTTTTGTCTCACATTCCTGTGTCTAACCCCCTTTTCTCTGTGTTTGTGTACCCTCCCCTCTCTGTCACATGGGCTCATGGCAACATGCACTCAAAAACTACTGGGATTAAAATATTAACTAACTTTAACACTATGACTGGGTCCATCTGAACCAAGTTGGTTTTACCATTTAACCCAGAATGCTGCTAGGGTTGTTCATTAGATCCAACATAGTGGCAAAATGAATTGCTTGCTTGATTATTTTTGCTATATATCAGTTATTCCCTGTCCTATTGGCATGCTACTTTTATATTAAATAATAATAATAGTAATAATAATATTGGTATGTTATATAATTATTATTTAGTTATAACTACCCACAATAATAAACACACATTATACAAAAAGAGGCCTCTGCAAATGTGTATTTAATGACACAATTTTTTTTAGCCTAACCAAAAAATGTAAAAATAAAAGTGAGTAAAAATAAAGCCAGGAAACCAACACGCATTAAATTGCAAGGTTGGAGGATAATAGCATTATCAGCTAGCATCTAGTAAAAATTGCTAGCTAGTTAATAAATGATCCCAGGCTGTACTTTTACAGTAAAATGACCTCTTATCACAACTTATTGAAAATGTAGTACGCATTTATATTAACCTACCATAAAATCCTGCCCACCGCGTGCTGTCCAACCCTCTGACCTCAAGAGACTGACCCAGAGAGTGAGAAAATGTACGAGTGTGAAATTTGATGAACCGTAAACCTGTGTGTGCCTGCAAATGAACCCCTATTACAAGCAACAAACAGAAACAACCCTGCGCTTTTTTGAGTGTGGTAGGTTTAAAAAAAAGCAATCAATTCCAGAGGCCAACCATCAAAACCAACTATGGTGAATCTGTTGTCATTTCCATGTGTTACATAAAATTCTAGTGAACCCAACTTTTACCTCAGTTACTGGAAATTATGTCCATATGAGTTGTTTCCGTAGTTTCTCTTTTCCAGGGCACCGTGGGAAAGCCTCGGTGGATGGTGGAAAGAATGTAATTGCTTCTGTACTACTCAAAAGAGGCAATGTCTTCATTTGGCCTCACTTTAATGTGTAAACAAACCTTCAATTAATATTACGCAACCAGGCAGAGGATTATGTTTGCCTGGCAGAGTTACTAGTCTCCCTCAAAATGGGGGCCTTCTTTTTTTTGTGAGTCCGGGGTGCCTTTGTGCACCGAGGCCTTTTATTTACAACTCGCACAACAGATCAGATGTGACAAGGCTGAAAGGTTGTTGCCCTAATCTCTAAAGCATGGTTCAGATTAGATCTTTAATATATTAGTGCTCCTCACGTGCTGAAATTCTGTGGAATCTCTTACAGGAACAACAGCCTGTTAAACAGACGTCTTGGTTGAACCGAACTTATGCAACAAAACAGCTGTGCTAGAGAAGAAAACGAAACTCCAGCTGGGTTTAAGACCATTTCCAAAAAACAATAAAAGTCAAACAAGAAACAGAAAGGAAGCAGTAAAATAAGACAAA